GGGGGGGGGGGGGGGGGGGGGGGGGGGGGGGGGGGGGGGGGGCGGCGAAGCGGCGTGTTTCATCGGGATCAGAAAAATGAAATTTACTCGGTAACTTCAACGGCGACGAGGTTTTTATGCCCGGCGAAAGTGGGTCGGCTCGCCTAAATTTGCTCGTGAGTTTACGTTTCGCGGTGCTCCTCTCGCGAGGAAAATTTAACCCGGAGCAAAACCTCCTTACCTTGCAATTTTACGACGCCGCGCGTGATAGTTGCAACGAAAGACCCGCGCTGTTGCCTGTTCGAGCGGTGCAAGTTTTTAGGGCGACGCCGCGCGCATCGATTCGACGATATATTTACTCGGGGAATGAATTCGGCGGGGGAGAACGGAACCTTTTCTTTTTCGAGACGTGGGAACGCGAGTCGCCCGGAACGTGCTATCGCGGGGACGTTCTACGACCACTTTCGGGGATATTGCTCTCTTTCTTCGTGGCCGTACATAATTCGTCAACGGAATTGTCCGACCCAGGTCGTCAACGGTCCGACCATCGTTCCTCCCACGGAGATGGAAACGGAGATCTAGGCTCCCACTCTCCCTTTCGTGAATTCGAGCGCGAGATACACTTTCCACCCCTTCCATATCGGTTCCCTCTCGGAACGCTCTCAGAGCCGGCTGTAATATGATACAAACTCTCGAGGAAAGAGTTCGAAGTGCTCCACTCGAGCCTGAACGGGAGGAAAATAAAAGCCGGGGAGTAATTGGGAGGAAAATCTCGAGTGTCTTCGGATACGTTCAAGCCCGAGAAATATCGTCGGAAGATGGCCACGTTGGATGCGAGCTACGAAATATAAGTCGACGGATATCCAAGTATGTATGTATATGTATGCCAGCGGCTTGCACGTGGAATTGTCTGAGAACTGTAATTTTTATCATCCTGTCGTTTTTTATTGTTTTATTTTGCTTATTTTTCTATGGAATAATATTTTCATTTTGTTTATCTTCTAATAAGAAAAGAGCGAATACGATAAATGTAAAGTTGATTATTCTTGAAAACTAACCAAAGGCACAGCAATTGGTCACGCTGCATTTCAATATTTGTAGATGAAATTTTATCACATTGACACCTCTTTAACATTGTTATTAAAAAGCAGTAAAAAAAGCTGTAAAAAGCAGATACCAAATAGAAAATTCTTTCTTTAATCACTTTAATGCATTGTGAAAATAACATATTGATATTTGTTCGATTGGATTATTTTATCGTAAGGTGAATATAAAAAGTATTTAGAAAGAATTTACCTATTGTTGCTAAGTACGGTGCACTTTCTAGTCCCTCCACTTGCCATAACTACGAGCATGAAGTGATGCTCTTTAATCTTCGTTTTTTTTGCACTGAAAACAGAACAAAATTATTTAATATCGCGTTGGTCTATGAAATGTGAATAATCACACATTCGTAAATATATTAATAAATAAATATATTAGCACATATTTATAAACTAACTTTGCAGTCCAAAAACTTTAAAAAGTCTAAAGTTATAAAATATTGAAAACGCGTGGTTTCGTCGTTTCGAAGTTATAAAATATTGAAAACGCTCGTGATATTTCACAAAATCTATTGTACAATATGCAAACACACACACAAAGTTTTCAAAGAATCTGCAAGTGAATTAAAACGCGACCACGCTGCAACAAAATCCAAAATATCCAGCAACGCGGATGTACAATAAAACTGCCGACACTGTCAAAAATGCACTGCTGCGTTAACGGACCGTGTATGAATAAAATGGTCAGCTGGTGAACTACATAAAACTGCAGCATAAAAAATGTATGCTTGGTTAGCTTTTACAGCGCCGTCGTCGGCCATAAAAATACAATATGACGGTGTTTCGAAAGTTAGATTCTTCCGGAAGCGCTGCGACTCGTAAGTATAGCACTTAAGCGAGCCCTTTCTGCATCATCGTGGTCGCGTTACGAGGTCGTTTAAAATCGAATAATGCATAAATCGCGAGTGAAACCGCAGCATCGAATTAATTATATCAACGAATATTTATTTAAATCGCTTCTGATCGTCCAAATCAAAATATATAATTCAATTAATAACAATATAATATTGTATGTTCGCAAAAACGTCTAATTGTATCCCTTAAAGTTAGAAGAGAAGGTACTTAGAATTGGTTCCGTATTTTCTATGTACCGTTTATTTAAAAAGAAACATTTTATTTTTGCACATAAAATCGTTACTGCCATGAAAAGAAAAAGCGATGCGATTAACAAAATAACCTTTGTAAAAAAGGAAGTAAGAATACTCGATTCCTGCTAACAGGTCTTCTTAAAATAAGGATGATTCTCGGCAATTTTTTTGTGTACCGTAAAACATTGTCGAAACTCTCCGTTATAAAGGTTTATTCGAGGCACCCATCTTAAATTATCGACGAACAACGATGATAAGACAACTTCACGGATCTCCCAATGGCCAGACAAAAACTCCCATAAGATGCAACGTGTGTACGGATCCAGAGTCGGCGATATTCGTACGGTTTTTCCGCGGGAACGATCGACGGTAGCAATTTATCACTGCAATTTTCCAGGCGAGCACGAACAGGGGTGGTTTCATCCCCTCTCCGAACGAGGACTCGGCTCGGATCCGCGCGCTCCGGGGAAACTAGGTCAGGACCTTCCCTTCGAGCTCCGATTCTCGAAAGTGAGATGCACGAAATTCGCCGGCTCGCGACACCCCCGCGCCCCCCTCCCTTTTTTGCATCCTTACCTTTTGTAACGAGCCACAATGGGGAACAATACGGGCAGGCCGAAGGAGAATGAGAACGGTTGTTTGCTTTGGGGGGAAAATATGGATGCCATCCTCTTAGTCTTTCGCTCCGTTGCACCCACCTACCCTCCCCGGGTCTCCCCGAGCCCCCCTGAACCCCACCGACACCCACAACGCCGCCACCCCCTTTCCGCGTTTCACCTCTTTTCAAGGGACGCGCGCCGCGCCGCGCCGCGGCGGGTCTCTCGGCGAGTTGCGAACGATAAATGTTTACCTCAAGTTTCCGGAGAGGCGGAGCACGGGCGCGTGATAAATGCATCTCATTCCGCTACTCGTCCGTCAAACCCGATGAAAAACATCCTGTTTTCCAACGGAAAACGCAGCCGCTCCCCAGGCGACGCGTCACCGACCCCTGTCACGCATGAAAATCGCGTTTATCCGGCGCTCCTCGCCCGGAAACCGAGAAAAACCGTTGCCAGTCGATAGCACCGCCGCCGATCGAATTCATCTTCATTAATTCATCTTTACCCACGGTCTCATTAGATCTTATTTATAGAGGAAGTTGCGCCGTGTTTCCCGGCTGTCATTTGTTCTCATTAGCGGCGCGCCGCGGATGTGAAATCGGTCGAACTGCACGGCCGTACAATGTTCTTACTTAACTGTTTTATTACCCGACAGTCGATACTGTGTTCGGAAATGCCAATTTATCGGCCCACGGGGAATGAAAGAGCTAAAGAAAATTGTACTTGTACCGGGATATACAGAGTGTCCTAAAAATATCTCGCGATACAGTGTTATTTTATAACTTCGAGGTTCCTAAGATCATTCGAAGCAACTTTCTCCTTAGCGAAAATACGATCCGCGGCTTTGTTTGCGAGTTATTAAAGAAAAACAGTGACCAATGAGAGGCGAGCTCGGCTGACGCGAGGCGGTCCAGTCAACGAGCGCGCGAAGCCCAGTTCCGCTCATCGGCCGTCTCGCGCCAGCTGATCTCGCCTCTCATTGGTCTCCGTTTTTCGTTAATAACTCGCAAACGAAGCCGCGGATCGCATTTTCGCTAAGGAGAAAGTTACTCCAAATAAACCCAGGAACCTCCCATTTCCGTTTTGCGAGACATACGAGTAGATTCCGAGACTTCGTTCTCTCTTTAATTACTTTAAGAAATCGGAAATGGCGGATTGGTAATTGTCGGTTATTTAAATTTCGCTACTGTTTCAAACAACTACTTATTTTCGTCATAACTGCATAAAATCCTCAGTCTATACGCGAGTTAACAAATTCGATTATTATTATAATTCTATGGTGATTGCTTGATTGAAACAAAAACGGCTGTAACTTTGGAATACAGTGAAATACATTTTATCGTTCTCGGGCATCCCCTATCCATTTGCGAATTAGATCTCCGGTGTTACGACACCTTCTGCACGTTACGAGGCATTCGACGTGTGACAGCCGGCATCCGCTGATCGTTGGAAAAAGAAGCTCGAAAACGACAAAGCCAGAAACGTGTCCGCACTTCGATGGACATTTCCCCGCCGAAAAACAATTTCAATGGCCCTCCAGCAACGAACTGACAAACGTTACCTTTATTTGCGCCGAACGAGCGTCATTCGCGCGCCGCTTAACGGGCCACCAGCGAAGTTCTTTGAGTCCGGCAGGCGTGAAGCGGCGTATAATTTAAATTCCGACGTCGCGACGGGTCGGGTCGCGTCACTGCGAAAGGAAGCTCGAATTTTTGCGCGAGCCGGCCCTCTCGAGGATCCGCGCGAAGCGGCGAGGAATTTGCCTTTATTCCCGCAGCTCGATGGGATTCGTATCGAGGACGCTCGCAATCCCGCCGATTAAACCAAATATTTGTGCTCGGGCCTTCTTGCAAGGAGAACGCTGCCGGCCGGCCCGGAAAGATCCATTGAGACGCGACGAACGGATAATCCGGGATTACCCTATCCCAGAGTAGACCGATCTCTTCCGATTATCAATTAATTAAGCCAGCCTTTCCCTTCGTCCGCTCGAGAGCCGCTTAATTAATTGCCGATTCAGGCTCGCCGACGCACCCTGCTGCAATTAAATTCGTAATCGCGCAAGGATATCCACGGGAGAGTGGACCGCGACGCGACGCTGCCAGGAAAGATGGATCTTCTTGCCCGGGGACCGTAATAGGAACTTCGATTCTCATTATCGAAGCTTAGACGCGAGATGCGGTCGAGAGTTAAGGCGGAAACCAATACTCGTTCGGGAACGCCAAAGTTTATGCGAGTATGACCGAGTCTACAATGCACATGGTTGGATCAATGTCCGATATTCAATTAATTTCCTTCGGGCTTTGCGGGACACTTCAAAATTTAGAAGGATTTATGGTTATAGAAATAGTGTTTTTATTCCTATATGAAACATCCTGCTTGGTTTTATGCAAAAAGCTGATTTTCATCCCATTTCCACGGAAATATATTATATTTTGCGAAATTTTAAACTTTTCATATCTCGAATCTTAATAATACGGAATACCTAGATGCTAAAATAATACGTGATACAACAACAAAAATTTAATTTAATTAATTTAAAAATGCTGTTGCATTATTTTCAACTTATTAATGTTATTAAGGAATAAATAAAGAATAAATAAGGAATAAACAGAATATATAACAATAAATATATAAGAATATATAACAAAGAATAAACAAAGGAATAAAGAATAAATAACAGTTCCTATATATTGTTATTTGTGCAGAGGATTTTTATTTTGCAGGGAAATCCACAGTTTAATAATAAATTGTGAAACTTAGAGAGAGAGAGAGAGAGAGAGAGAGAGAGAGAGAGAGGTATAAACTAATAACTAAAATGTGAAAATATCTTCTCGAAATTACAACCTCCAAGATAGCGATACAAACAGGAAGATTTGTTAGAGATATTTTTTTCGAAATTGCAGCTAGATTTATCGCAGTTGATAATTCCATATTTGACAGTCTATAAACTAAGCGTTAGTTGAAGGACGCTGGTCATACAATTAGATGCGATAACGACTCGAATAAACTCTGGCTCCGTCAGTATTTGACTACGGAAGAAACTTTGCCTACCACTCCAACAACGTGAACATTGTTTAACTTTATACGGGCCACTTGTATTTCCGCGGTAGCCTCTGTTTAATTAATCGAGGTCTTATCGGAGATAATGCCTCGAGGAAGCGGAGGGCTTTTTTTGAAGGAGAACGAAGACGAATGCGTTTAATTACGGGGAGATTTCGCCGAACAGTGGGCAGAATTTACCGTCGGCATTAGGGCAATATTCATTGTCCCGGAACGGTAAACAATCGGCATCGTTCGGTTCCGTTGACGATTTAGATGGAAAAAAGCCGTTCGATCCTTCTAGTAGTCAGCAGCCTCCGAGAAAACTAGGTGAATACGAAAGTCCGTTATTACACCTAATGGATAAACAGTGAATTAATATCATCCGAGAAAATCAACGTTACCAGCAGACTCGCTTCTCGAAAAAGACCTGCTATCATCAAAATCAAATTTGCGAAGCGTAACAGCTGCGTGGAAGTTAGCTGACCCACCATTTTCTAACTGTTTAACGATACACTCGAGATGGGAGGGGGAGGAGGGGGATTAAAACCGAGCGGACCGCGGTTGAGCGTGACGGTATCGAGAGGCCCATCACTTTTTAACGAGGTTGGCCCCCCATAAATCAGAATG